GATTCATCATTGATAGTCTTTTAAGGGGACATTCCTATTATCACATGCTTGTGAGTCCCCAAACTTGCTGGCATCCCATGCAGAATGGGAGGAGTAATTGAGGAGACCTTTACATGCCCTGCATATTTCACTAGATGGGGATTTGGCCATCTCACTGGAGTATTTCAGAGGGGAAGAGAAGTTATTGTCCTTCATGAAATTCACATTCGCCCCCTTGTCTCTGAGACCCCCCTCCCCAGTTTTATAACTTTATATAAAAATGACATCGTCAGACCAATTATGTCGGGCAGGCCCCTTCCCTCCCCCATAATTTGAGCATTGCTAATAACAAGTGATTCCCAACCCCTCCCACAATCTTATCCTATCCATAGCCACCAAAACAATTGACATAAAAATATTTTTCACTGTTTCCAGGACACAGGAATTTGGAATTTGTGAAAGTTCCATGGGAAGGAACCACAGTTGTGTCTAATAGCAATGAGACTCCAACATGTATTTAAAATGTGTACACAGGAGCATAACAACCAATAGCTGACTTCAGGATCAGGGCTGGTGTCAAGAGTAGGTATGGCCGACTAGCTGCCAAGGGCCCACACCCCAGTAGGGGCCTCCTAGGCCAAGAGCTCACCAGACCATCTCCTCCTCTTCAGCATTATAGTCTGATTGTTCTCCTGCTCTTGCCTAGACAATGTTGACGAGGAGCATTGAGGCAACCGCCTAATTGCTCGCTGGCTCTCTCTGCCAGCTTAAGCAAGTGTAGCACCAATGTGAAGAAGAGGAGGCGCAAACAGCAGTTAATAGCAATGCTGGTGAGAAGGTAGCCTCACTGAGGGAGGCCTGTTGAGAGTGTCTTGCACCCTTGGCTATTCTTCCAAGAACCACAGGAGTTAAAGACCCGGACATTTCCAGAACAATATGATAATATAAACTATGTACACATATGTCACATTTATAGAAATAATCCATTTACATGAGCAGTGCAATGCATTATGCTAGCGAGGGTAGCCCATGGAGCTCTGGCAGGATCCTTGTATGATTGGCTTGGAGCAGTCTGGAGTTACCATTCAGCCATACTAATTCCTTCTTACTTCAGTCCAAGGTACAGAAACTTCCCTTTTGCAATTACTTGTATATCTTTGCTAAAGCAAAAAGCCAGATCGTCTGGATACTGGCACTGCAGTACAGGTGCCTTCTCAAAAGTCCTCACAAGACCAAACACCTCCACTTAGCAAATTGGTTGAGTAGTGAATTGCCCAGGTGCCTAAACACAGAAGACTCTTCCAGAGTCCATCTCAAAACTGGGGATGAGACACCAGCCAAAGCCAAGAGATTATTCTGGAATCTCCACCCAAGCAAAGGGTGAAAGGACCGAAAGAGATATACTCCACTAGAAAAGGAAGCTGAGGGTCTTTCTCTTCCAGCATGGGTTCCATGAGCATGTCTCCCAGAAAGTAGGGGAGCTTGAGGCAGGCAAAGGGGTGATTGCACTAAGTTTTCTCTGGTAGAAACACCCAGGTGTAGTTTTCCTCACACAAATCATGAGAGAAGGGGAGAAAAGATGCAGCACCGGGAGAACTTTATCACAGACATAATGCGTCTTCAAAGAACCAGGAAGTCAGTAGTGGATGCTAGCTACCCTGTGCTTTTCTCTTTTGTTTGCCACTGAATTGCCACTTTAAACTGTTTTTTGCTTGTGCTCTGAATATAACCAACCCTTTCCCCTGTTTGTACTGAATCCCTAATAAATCTTTTACCCTGTTGTTACCAAAGCCCAGACCATGTCCTTTGGGGAGAGGAGCACAAGGGGGTGTTCCACATTATTAGTCATGCTAATACAGATTTAACAACCAGGTCGCATGCACCTTGCTGAGCAAAACCTGTAACTTCACTGCGCCTCTCTAAGTGACATGTGTTGCATGCACAAGGGACACCAGTTGGATCCTTGGCCAACATCACCGGGGGACTGAAAGTGCTTGGTGACAGATTGACTTTGCTTACTTTCCATGGTGGCAGCTGGTCCCAGTTTTGACGCCGCTGCACCAGGCCTTGTGACCCTAGCCAGGATGCCTCCAGGCACCAAGTTACCACACTTCCATTGCAATGAATGCGATGGCAGAGGTAATAATTCCTCAGCATGATCTGAAGACATGTGATGCCAAAGCTAAGCATGATGGGTCTGCTTAGTGTTTGGATGAAGACTGCCTGAGAACCTGATTTAAGGTTCTATCATGGCAGAAAGGTGGAAAAGCATGAAATATGGCTGAGAGCCATGTGTCACTGACTCACACATAACATTTATTATAATGCACAAAACATGTGTTTGTGTCCTGTTTCCAGAAGACATTCAGTTTATATTACTTACTTGCTGAAATACTTCTGATTGGCTTTCCATAATAAAAATCCTCTTGAGTAATATATATATAGAATGATGTGGGTTGTAAATTAGGCATGCTTACTGCATTCTTTTGAGAGATTGTCTGACTAGTATTCTGAATATTCTTTGCTACTCTGTACACCAACGTTGGTGTGCAGGGAGGGAGGAGCGTCTAAAGGGAGCCAGGTTGCCCTTAAAGACATTTGCTGATTTTCTGAAGTATATTAAAGAACATTCTTCATGGTGATAGTGATAGCCTGCCTGTCATCCAAGCAGAGGTCAGGTGAGGACATGTTACAGAGTTGGCTGCAGCATGAATCTGCATCACCAAGAAAAACCAATTTTTTCCTCCCAGCACAGATGATGAAATGCATCCCAATACATATGAATTTTCTTAGGAGTATGTAATTTTTCTTCATTGCTAAAATCTGAAACATTTTGTGATCCATCTGTTCGAAGTAAGCTAACTTAGTAATTGCTTGGAACTTAAACTTGGAGCAACAGGAAGTAGAGCTTGTTTGGCAAATGTCCTCTCTTGCACAGGGAAATAACATGAAATGTTTTCTTAACATGCTGTTGTTATTTCACTGGTGACATTCATACCTTACCTAGTCCCAGCAAGTATCCTAAAGGGTAGGAAGAAATCAACCTCCATTACACAGGTCAGGGTCTCCCAATGAAACTGGGTTAGAACAGGGAGTTCAAAATAGGAAATAGGAGATGCTGGACAATTTGATCTTTGCAAATCCTGATGTGAACAGACCTGATCTGGGACTATTCCTCAGAACAGAACTCTGTTGTCCACACTTTCTTAATGGCTCCTGGCTCAAAAGAATATATTGAAATAATGCAGAAAGAAACACGAATATTTTGAGATAAAATAAGTGTGTAAACTCATTTCATGCATTTTTTAAAGTATGGATTGATATAGCAATGGATGGAACAGACTTATGGATGAACACATACAAAAGTGCTACAGGGCAGAAATAGCCTGATCTGCCCATCACTGCAAATAGACAAACACAGCCTTTAAGAGAATTCATGACTTTGTGAAGGATGGTGTAAATTGGTGTCCTGCAACAGCAGGGGGTTGAACTCAATGGTCTTCATGGCTGCTTCCAACTCTACTACTCTATGATTCTATGAGGGCCTCTACTTTATATGACTTTTTATTAGAAGCAAACAAACAAGGCAAAGCAGATCCATGGAAAATGCACAAACTGAGACCTGTTGGGCGTGATGGTCTATGTTCAGAGGAAGTAGCTGGGAAGGCTTCTGCATCCCTGCCTGTGGATTCTCCTGAGGCTTCTGATTAGGATCAGATGGTGGGTAAGAAGGAGCAATGTTCTGGTTCCCAATGCTCTTATGCTCACGGATCACAATCTGGCTTTCCCAGACTTATTTTCATGAACCACGTCTGGCCAACAAAGTTTTTCTCCTTGATCCGCACACAAGAGTCTCCAACCTCCAAGGTGGAGTTGAGGCCACACCATCTGAAAGGATACCTTCTCCATATCAGCCTGCCAGGATCTTAAGTTCTTTAGGAAAGGCTTTAAAAAAAAAAGATTTCCACCTTCAAAGGAGCGTTTCATGACGATGAACAGAAGAGTATTTTGGTGGACGGTCCTGGCTGTGGAATTTCCTGCCAAGGAATGTGAGATTGGCACCTTCTGTGATCTTCTTCCACAGGCAGTCAAAAGTCTTTTGATTCAAGCAGGTGTTTGGTGTGTAAGTGGGTCTAATTAGGCTGGATTTTTAAAATGTTATTATTGTGTTTCTATGCATTTGTTTTGTTATTGTTCTCATTATGTTTTATTTATAATTATAAAACATTTTTCTTGGTGGAAAGGCAGGGTACAAATCAATCAATATATAAAAATAGGAAATAATGAAGAAAAAGGGTAGGACTGATGTTAGGCTCGATGCAACTAGGCTGGATGCAACCCAAGCTGCTTCTTACGGATCTAAACTATATTTTAGGTTATTTTCAGGTCACCAACAACCTTTGCGGGGGGGTTTTTTTCGAATCACAAAAGAAAAGAAATTGAGAGAATGCAGGTTTCCTTATAATTTTGCATATGCTAATTTACATGCATAGATGCAAATTTTGAAATAATTACTATGACTTAAACAGGAATTCAGTGCCTATCACCATAGTGTGGAAGACTCTGTGCCTGTCCATCCCATCTGCTATCCAATTGCTAACATACAGTAATATAATCACATTTTTGCTGCCTTCATGGTGCCGTCTCCTACCTCCTCATTCTGCTGCGCTCGTAGCCCTTGACTCTGTTTAGAAAGGATATCACTGTCTCCACTGGAAACATCTTACCAGCAGTACCTGAGCTAGCACAGGGGAAGACAGGAGCAAATGCATGCTACCAAATGGATGCACATTTCCCAACCTAAAAAGCTGACCTAGGCCTGGGGCCTGCATTAAGCTCCATTAAGAATGTCTGAATAATGCCAAGTCATCCATTCCAGGGAAAAGAAAGATTGGACAACATTGCATCTGGCGCTCCATTTGCCTTCCCACCCCCAAAACAATCCATGGGATTTCAGCAAACTCAGTGAAGGATTGCAACCCAGAGCTTTAGGGAACGGCTAACAAATGACACAATAACAATACAGAGGAACAAAGCTTGTATGTAGTGGTCTGACCAGGCCAGTATCGACAGTTTTAAAACATTCCTTAGTTAAAATAGCTGGGCTCACTTGACAAATATTTTCCATGAATGTTGCCTAATAAAACAGCAACAAAAATAGGAGTTTCTAAAGCCACCGAAGAGGCAACATAACAGTTTTCTTTCCTGTATGAAGGTGGCAATCCTTTACATGCTTACCTTGGACAGAGTCCACTCAACTCAATTGGTACACATATTTGAGTGGAAACAGATTAGATTGCACTGTAAAACCATGACATCAAATGGACTGCCAGCAATAACTAAAATCAATAATGCTTAATGTTTTATTGACTGGTCATTCCATGCATTTTTTGTTTTAGTTGAAGGACCAGAACTATTTTCCTTTGTAAAGAAACTAACACATATTCCAACTTGGTTTCATACAAATAGCTGGACTCATTACAGCTGATCACAGTGGATTTGCTTACAAACTGTGGGCTGATGGTGTGGGTGGAAGGAGGAACAAGAATAACTTGTTTGTGGCTTTTATACACTGGTTTCTCATAGCAGAACAAGCACTTTCTGTATTGCTGTATATGTGCCCAATGTCATCTCCAGAGCAGTTACAAGCTGCTAGCCCCTGGGGCTGAATCTCTGGCAATGCCCTTGAACCATTCCTTTACTCTTCAGCAATTACTGTCACTTCAAGGCCTTCACATCACAGTACATGGGCAAAAACAGAAGATGAAAAGGTTTCCACATGGGAGAAAACGCTGCTCAAGGTTAGATGCCTCCTTCCCCTTAAATTACCAGAGGTTTTACTGAAGATGTTTCACTTGTTGTGAGCTTTTCTTTGTCTTCCAGGATTGGTGATGATGATCTTTACTTGCTCATCTACATATTAGGGTATTAATTAAAATAACAAAGAAAGAAAAAGAAAAGTGAAGGTTCAAAGAGAAGCCCTTATATATTTGGAGCTTCAGTTGACTCAGGGCTTGATTTCTTTCACTCCCAATCTTACTTTTAGTGACAGAACTCAGCCTTCAGCTGTGCATGCATTAAATGTGGAGCGGTATATTAATATCTTTGCACTGCTGTGTATATCAAGGGGTGGGAGCATCTTTCAGCCCAAGGGCTGAATTTTATTTCAGGGAAGCTCTCAGGGACCATAAACAAAAGTGGTGAGTCAGAAAAAAACAGAAAATAAAACATTTTAACTGAAAATACTTCCTGCCAGTAACTAAAAGAAGAAACATTTTAGTCTTCATAATATGGGGAAATGCACAAAAGCTAGCATACCATCCAATGACTGGTGGTCAAGAGAGAGACAGGGAAGGGAAGCATGGCCTTCTGGGAACCTCTGGAGGGCTAGATTGAACCTCTAATGTGAGATTCTGCACCGCTGCACTATTAGAAAAGGGCATTCTTCCAGCTCATGCTGGTACCTTTTCCCAGGCATTTTTGCTTCTGTTTCCCAGATTACTAATAAGCAGCATACTAGGTGACTGAATCTGGAATATAAAGGTATAAGAACACAGTATTACAGCACCTTTCTCTATCATAAGTAAGAAATGATGGCAGCAGATCCACCTGTGAAAAATCCTCGATGGGGATCCCTTTAGCCCCAAGCACTGGAAGCAGTACAGATGTTTAATTCATTAAAGGCTATCTGGCACCTGCTAGGATCAGGCAAATGCCCTCTAGATGCTTTGGAGTACAATTTCCATAAGACCTAGTCAGTATGGCCACTAGTCAAGTATTTGTAAATTTGAAGTCCAAAGTATCTGGTGGGTGTTAGGCTTGGTGCTCAGTCACATTGGATTGGTGCTACATTTTAAAGCTCAAGAGGCAAGAGTGCCTTTCATAAGAATTGATTAGTCTTAAAGCATACTGAGATAAGGGGATGCACCTATGATGTAATACGATATACCTGTGATAATGGAGGGACCATAGCTCAGTGGCAGAGCAGACACTTTGCATATAAAAGGTCCCAAGTGCAATCCTAGGCATCTCTAGGTAGGGCTAGGAAAGAAAGCCTACAGGGGTTAAGACAGTCAGTCAATGTCAACAATATTGGGCTACAATATATGGACCAATTTTCTTATTCAGTATAATAGTTCTTCCAGTTTTCCTTTGTAAGGCTGTGTTCCTGTCCAAGCATCACAAGCTGCATCATCAGCAAGTCCTATTCATCCAACCAGGGGAAAAAAAGAGATGTAGCTGAATACAGAAGATAAAGCACCAGGTAGCAGAAATGGAAGTAAGGGTGGGGGAAAGGCTGGATTAAGTTTGCAATCCTATGTGCCCTAACCTGTGGGTATGTTTTGGTGAACTAAGTGGGGGCTTATATCTGAATAAATATGCATCAGATCATGCTGTAAATGTAAAAGAGAAATCAACCTGCTATATTATGGACACAATATTCTCGTTAAAGTAGTGTTACTTGATATTTCCAATTAGAGCAAGATGCTGCCTCTGAATGATATTGGGTTTCTTCTCCATTCTTGTGATGAGTGATGAGGTTTCAGACCCATATGTCATGACAATCAAAACAAAAGCATTTCAGAGCCCTGCTAATTATTGAAGAGGCTTGATGGAACTTTCCTGAGATATCCAGAGTGGGGTTTGCAAACCGGAGATGGACTCTGACAGGAAGTGAGAGAAAAAGTAGGCAGCAGAAAGAGGGAGAATAAGGCAGTGACAGCACACCTTCTCCTTCTGGCCTTGCTCGCTTCTGGCTTCAGCCCACCCCACTGCTGATAGCTGCCCCCCCCCCCCCCCCCCCGTATTATCCATGATGAAATACAGTCAGTTTTCCACTCCTTCCCTAAATGCACAAGATCAGAAGAGATAGTGAGAATAGGATGCGTTCATACATGAATGGAATGAGTTCCAAAGGGCTCATTCATCTCCTGCTAGAATAGAAGCATAATTGCCCACTAGCATAGATGTGACAAATCCCAGACAAACAAAGAAGGGCGGTCTTTTCCAGCCTGGTGCCTTCAGCCATGCAAGATGGCAACTCTAGTTGTTCTGAGACAACATGACTAGCCATGTTGGATGGGAATGATGATAGCTGCAGTCCAGCACTGGAGGGCATCAGGTGTACTAGTGCCTAGAAGAACCACCCGTGCTTCTGATTTTAGCATATTATTAGTGGCATATTATTAGCATATTATTAGTGGCACCAAATCACTTTAGAAGAACTTTCCAAGTGTCTGCGGACTCTGATATATCAGCACTATCTCTTTGCTGCAGATAATTGTTATCAGACTAGAGGTACTGAATCATAGAATGGAAATAGAACAAAAGCATTTATTTGTTAATCCCATGCACTACTGTCTGAGCATAGAAAAGAAATAAATGACTGGTATGAGAACAAAGGGGCAAAAAATGGAATATAAAAGTACGGAGACCTTAGATTAAGAAAAAGACAGTAAAGGTGTAAAAGATAAGACAAGGAACAGTTTTAAATTATTGATTGTATTTTATGTATGTTGTGAGCCGCCCCGAGGCTTTGTTGCGATGGAGGCAGCATAGAAATGTTTTAAATAAATAAAAAAAAAGTGATTACCCTCTCACCCACCAGCATCAATTTCTTCCCCTCCTTCCTTATTGACTTTGGTGGGTGTCATCTGTTGTGTCTGTTCTTCCTGTGTTCTGTAAATGAAGGAGGAGTAGGACATGCTCAGGCTTTAAGAAAATTAATCCATTAAGACTGATGGTTTATTGATTAATGGTAGAGACCCAATTTCATATCCACACAGACCTGCATTTGGTAGGACCATGTACTGAGAATGGAAGACTCCCATCTCCCAATTCCCACTTCAGTGTCCCTGAGCAGAGGAAAGCATATTTCAGCATGATTAATCATTTTCCATAAGCCAACTCCTGTACTACATTTAAGCTAAGAAATGCTTTAAGCATGCAGCCTGAACTTTATTTTAAAATGAATAACAACAACGTGTCATTCACAGATTAATTCACACATTTCAGTGTAAGTTCTAAGTGATCTTTGTTATGGTCCATGATCGGCTCTGGGTCCAAATAATTATTTTCATGTGCTGCGAAGTACCTTTCACTAGGCAGTTCCATGGATTTAAATTACAAAGCAGCACTGCAGTGAAAATGGGCTCTTATATCCTTTTCACCTTTCCCCAGAGTGAAACACTTCCTTGCTAGACACAGGGTGGGTGTATTAAAGATTACAGAAGTTTTTATTGCAGGAAGCAGCCTACGCTTGTATAAACAGCTGGCTTTGAAACAACTTTCTACATGTATGACACCAGAACTTCTAGGCCAGAAAGTTCACAAAGTACAGAAAAATGTTTGTCTGTTTGTTTGTTAAATGCATTTTTATATGGCCCAATAGTCCAAAGGCTCTCTCGATAGTTAGATATTTTAGTGATATTGTAAAAATATTATAAGCAGTGTATAAACCTATTACTTAATAAATTAATTCAGGTGGAATTTTTTGCTCAATGAGGATTAAAATTTGTATTATTCCAGCCTGCTTTGATGAACTTAAAGTGAGTGTCAATGAAAAAAGGCTTTAATTCTGAACAGCACCATTAAAAACAAAAACCACAGACATTAGTACACACACAATGTAACAGTTTTAGAAGACACCTGATGGAAGAGGTTATTTCCAGCATGGCAGGATTTATAACAGGGAAGCCACTTTAGATCAGGAAGCTTGAACCTGTCTTTAAACATTAACATATTAAGAAAACTCAGCAAAATGGTTTAGTGATGCAGAATGAAACCTGAATGTAGAAACTGGTATACTTTTGCTTGTGCCAGAATTGTGCTCTGCTGAGAAAAAATGTGCAGTCTAAATGGGAGAAGAATGGCAGCCTCCATGCCAAATCAGTGATGTTGAAGCCTCTTTCATGTGGCAGTTCTAGGTTTTGCACTCGCTCAGACCTTTTACTCACGGTGCATCTCATACTGGCACAGGATGCCTCTTCTAGGAGTCCTCATGGACCACTGAAACATATACATATACAGTATGTTAATGGTACTATAAAAGTGACAGCTTTTCTCCAACTGCAAGGTAGACAGAGCCTTGAAATGAGCATGAAATATGAGAAAGCACATTGTCTTTCCAACATTGTATCGCTAGAACAGTGAATGAATGACTGCAGATATTTTACTTCTCTCACAGTTCAGCAGTGATGGCTCATCACACTCCTAGAACAATAACTGATTCCACCAGCAAAAACTAAAAATCATTTTAGGGGTTAGAAGGAGGGTGCAGGGAAAGAAGCAATAACATTAAAAGCAAAAATATATCAAGTACCATTGAGTATTGATCTTTGCTCTATTACCTTCAATAGACTAACATCCTTAGGAATTGTCCCTGAGGCAATAAATATCTACAGCAGGGGCAGGCAACTTGTGGCCCTCCAGATATTTTGGCCTACTGTTCCCATTATCCCTTCCCATTATCTATGCTTGCTGGGGCTGATGGACATTGTTGCACCCAGTGAGGGCCAAAAGTTCCCCTCTCCTGATCTAGATATCTAACCTTAACTTTGAGGTTTTCTCTTCCAGTTCTTATACAACTCTGCTATGCATTGAAACACAAAGAGAAGGGAGACATCACAATTTGTGATTCAACATACATTGGACCATAATTCAGCCTTCCCAAGGTTGTGCTGTTTAGATGTGTTAGATCTAGAACACCTATGATCCCCCAGCCACCATGTGGGTGGTGATGCTGAGACCCAAACACCAACACTTCTGGAGGCGACCAGGTGGGGGAAGCCTGACAATTAAAACAAAGCCTGAAAGTACATAGTGAAGAGCAAACAGACATGGCTACACGCAGAAACGGATGACAGACTATCTCTCACAGAGGGCATTCACAAACATAACAGTTTTATTTTCCTCTGTATTCAGCAGTGTTAAATCTTAAGTTATTTCCATTCTCTGGATGAAGGAGTTTGTGGATTTTGGTAAATTATGATAAAAGATGGAAACAAATTTCTCACCCATCTGTGCCCATTAGATTCAGTAGCTACAGCTATTTCCAGCATGCTGTCTCTGCCCACCATATAGCTGCTAAGATAAGGAGCCTATCAAAAGAAAAGAGGCAGCGGCTGTCATTCATCAACACAAACATGGTTGAATGCACAGGGAGTCAAACCTAGGCTTTTAAAAGCTCAAAGACTGGGGCCTGATAGGGCAAATCTGTCCATTTGGGTTAATCACTTTGCTTCATCTCAAGTTATTTTCATTTTGTCTATGAAGAAATTAGTGGCACTGTAATAAAATTTCCCCAAAGTGAATGAAGTTCTCACCCATCACTGCTCCTGCATTTTTATTTTGGTGAACCGCACTGAATAGGGCGGCTTCTTTTCTTTTCTTTTCTTTTCTAACTTTTCCTTTATAACTTCTTTTATATCGTTTATATTTTTTATTTATTTTATATTATTAATTTTAATTTTATATTGTTATTTTTATATTGTATTGTATTTTATTATGTTGTAAGCCGCCCCGAGGCTTCGGCAAGGGGCGGCATAGAAATGTTCTAATAATTAATAATAATAATACTTGGAATGGGACATATTCTCTAATAAGACTATTTAGGTATCATATGTGAAAATTGTGTTAGTCCATGTCTGCATCATGGCCCAGTTTCCATGACACAGCATGTCTCATGGTAGGTTATTTAATTATCTGCTCAAGGGTTATGCAAGGGCTAAATATACAACCTCATTGCGGCTTGAATAACCCATAGTGAGCCTTGTGTCATGAAAATCAGCCCTATATGTTTCAAGTGGGATTCAATATAAGTTTGTTGATTTCACAAAAAATAGAACTGTTGTTTGCTCTGGTTCTTACCAGGAATACCAATATCAAGTATTGAGACTGCTTGGTTGTTGTGAGAAGCCCAGAAGATTTTCATTAAAGTGGAACTCATGATCAAGAAGCATTTTAAAAAATATTTTGTTCTTGAAAAAATGCAATCTCTTCCTGCACCGTCATGGGAATTTGTGGCCTATAAGAATTCCATCTCTCTCTGGAGGCCCACTATTGAACTACTGATTAGTATGATTGTACCTTTGTCTTGGGTCAGTAGAACAGATTTGGGGCTCTGCTGGTACAGCCCTCCTGCTGTTCAGACCCCCAGCCTGAGCTGATGCAGGTAGCCTCACGTTTGCTGTTAACACTGTGGCTCTTGGGAATGTCAACATTAATGTTAGGGCATCTTGTCTGAGATGGCTTACAATTTCATGGGCTCTTTGGCAACCATGACACTGTCCCAACATGTTGTCCATGCAACACACCTAGCATGGCATACTCTAGGGTTTGGTTTTGTTTCAGCTGCGCATGGAGATGATGGCTTGAAGGTGGGGCACTTTGAACGGTTTCTTAGTCACGGACAGTGCATCACCTGCAGTGGTAGCTTTTCTGCATTGCAAGAGTGGGGAGCCCATTAAGATGGTTCACTCCTAAAAGTTAAAAGATCGGAATGGTTTCCAGAGGTCTTGGGGTGTGAGGGATCATTCTGGCTGATATGGTTGGCGAGCCTTTCAAAACCCTGGTACATCTGTGGAATGCAGAAATGGCCCAGGCAATTGACATATATACTTCTAAGAGCCCTCTCAGCAGTTGAGCTTGTATAGCTCCATGATATATTCCAGATGCAAGAGCAGTGAAGCAAAATAGGAGACAGGTTGAGTGCAAATACTAGCGTGTGCCTATGGTCGTGAATATTCAGGAGCAATAAGGGCAGCAAATATACAATATCTTGCTGTGTCTGTATTAAGTCCTCTGTGTGCCACCTAATGGAGCATTTCAGGGTCATCCAGAGCTGGCCCTACAAATGCTGCACACTTCTGAGACCTGCTGAAATATGCTTGATAGATACTTCTAAGATAAAATAATTTGACTCTACTGGGACTTAGACTTCAGTGTTATAATAGGTGAACTACGTAAGATACCCAGCATAAGATACCCATTGGCTTGTTGTGTTGGATACATTTCAGGATGCTCCAGGATGTTGGCAAGGTGTTTGGACAGGTTCATGCAACCACTTCCATATTGGATCCTTGCTTCTCTTGGCTCATAAAAACCCTCAGGGAGAAAACAGCCAGCTAGGCTAGGGAGACCATCAATGCCTTCTTGTGAGGGAAGCGATCCTTGGCTGCTTGAAAGAAGCAGTGCTAAGACCATTCCGGGGGTGCGGGGGACTTCCTTGGATGCAGAAATTTTTAATAACCTTTAGGCCAGTAGCAAATGTTCCTTTAGTTGCCAAACAGCTCCAGAAGAAATTATCTGGATCCAGTTCAGTGGGGGGTTCAGGTCAGGTTTAGACATGGAAACAAACTTGGGCAGCCTATATGACTTATTTTGGGAAAGAGATGGGGGGGTGTGATTCTGTTGATTCTCTTGGTGACTTTTATTAGCATCAACACTGGTATCCTGATCCTGGGATGCACGGCTGAGAAGGGAGTGGGAGGTACTGCATTGCAGTGGCTTCCTTTTTCTTTGGGTGACGTCTCCAGAAGGTGCTTCTTGGATGCTGCTGCTCATTCCTGCAGATTTTCCAGTTTTGCTCCCCACACACAACCATGGATTTTGGACTGTATTATGTATATGAAGATCACATGCAACTCTATTTTGCCTTTGCATCTTCATCAAGCAGTAAATTATTATTTCCTTTTCCATGCTTTTGGGATTCTGCACTGCTGTCTAGGGACTAGCATGAATGTTTTGCTAAGGAAAAAAACCTTGGTAGTCTAACTCGTCTTGCAGCGTAACTGACTGGATAATACTAATAGTTGTAGGACTTTTCCTGTCTACAAAAAAGTAGACAGAACGTAGCCAGGCTTCACCCTTAAGCTTTTCAAGAGAAATTCTTCTTGCTTAAGAAATTATCAAGTGATAGCTTTAATGTGATGTAAACCTGTGGTGTGAGGTCCTCTTGAGGATGCTGAAGCGCAGCAAAAGCTCTGACATACTGTAGAAGGTTTGACAGGATTCCTCACCAAAATGTATCAGGATCATGGGTCGTGAGCGCTGAAGTTGCAGAAAGGGGAAATAGGCCGAAACAATTGCAGTAGATATGCGGAGTTATGTTCTCACACCATCTGAGAACTCTTGCCTTTTACCACTGAAAAATGGATAAAGCTGGAATTGCTGACACTTTCTTCAAGGAGTTTTCTATCCTTTACATTTGTCATTCTCACATCCTACTTATCTGAACCAAGACAGCTGGTTTCCCCCCTTCATCCTGGTACTTAAGTCACACACTTACCACCCTCTAATCCTGTCTCTCCACAACCACTCCTCCCCTCTCCCACATCTGCTATCAGTGGTTTGTTTGTTTGTTTTTAAGCCTGTCCCTTAGCACTTATCTTTCTCAGTGTTACTAAAATAAAGTTTCACTGTTGGAACTTTTCTTTATTGCTGCAGCGGAGAAATTAGGAATTTAAGAAGAGCCCCACCGGGTCAGACCAAGTTTCCATCTAGCCTGGTATTCTTTTCACATGGTGGCCAGTCAGCTGCCCATGGAAAAAGGACACGAATGCAATTCCGCCACCCATGTTCCCCAGCACCGGGTGTACTGCTTCTGCTACTGGAGGTAGCATGTGGCCGTCAGAACTAGTCACCACTTGGCAGGCTTCTCCTCGTTTTACATTCCCATTTTAAATCTGCTCGAATGGGTTGGTCTTCACGACATCTTGTGAATTCCGTATTCAGCCCTGGGTTGTGCAGAAGTACTCGGTTTTCATTTCAGAAGCAGGATCTGCACGTTAAGTCTTTCTTCCTCTGCTTCAAGAGAAAGCTCACATAACCAAACCAAAAGAAAAGTTAAGTTGCCCCTTGGCAAACGTATCATAGGCTGAACTTTTCTTGCTCTGAATTTCTCTGTGTCCTCCGCTCAGCGGAAGGAGATGTATCTATGTACGCTTTTGTGTGTTTACAAATATTTGCGGTCACTGGAGGAAGGGAAGGAGCGCTGCGGCAGCAGCATTGCTTTCTGTGACCGCGGGTGGCAAGAGGAGAGCTTTTCTTGGCTTCCAGAGAGGAGGAGCTTGCTAACTTGGCTCAACCATAGAGCTAGAACCTGTGGCATGGGAAGAGGTTTCCTTCCACGGCTATTCCGTAAACAACGCAGGAGGGAAGGAACGAAAAGAAGGCACCCTAAGAGCCAGATTCCGAAAGAAACTTTTACTCCACCTCTTCCCAGCTTCGAACCTGCTGTCTGGGAGAAGACAAATCAAAATAGCTCTCTCCCCTTTACTCTCCGGGTCGGTTGTTAACCATTTCCTTTCGCGCTCACGGTTAAACACTTGCTTCATGTTCAGAAAGCGAAAGTTTATTTCCGTCCTTCACCGCCCGCATCTTGTTCTTTCCTCCCTGCCCCTCCCCAGCTTTTGCCACCTTTCCCCGTCTCTTTATCCGGGGGCCACCTTCTTTTCCCCGATTCTGCGGAGCCCGAGCGCCGCTCACCCTGCAAAGCTGGGAGGTGCTTGACAGCAAGGCGGGCTGCCGGGGAGCGGCGGCCGAGCGCGGCTTCCGCGTCGGGCAGCACCGGGGCCGCTTGCAGGGCAGCCGGTGGCAGGTGCCAGGCTGGAGCGCGGGGTCAGGAGGACGGCCGCGAGCGGAGCGAGGCGAGCAGGGACAGGCCGGGCTTGTTCTGCACCAGCCCCAGGCGGCCCCGGCGGCGTGGGGGCGTCAGGCCGGCGGGGGGCTGCCCGACCGCCCTCTCCTCTCTTTCCGCGGCGGGAGGGACGGGACCAAGGGCCTGCCGAAGCGTTCGCCTTCCCAGAGCCTGCTTCTCTTCCTCACTCCTCCCCGCCCGCTTCCCGGAGCACCACATGACGGGGAGGAAGCGGATGGTCGCCTCGACTCGCCAGCCAAGCGAAGGACAGCTGCAGCCGCCCTCCCAGCCCAGCCGCCCGGGGGAGCGGAGGAGGAGCAGGGGCGGGGAGGGGGAGCCAGGCTAGCCGGCTGCGGCTGCCCAGCAGGCGGGGCGGCGGGCGCGCTCGGCTGGGCTTCGGCGGCGCTGCCCGGCCTGCCTGCAGGTTTCTTGAAAGCGAAAGTGTGCAGGAGCCGCGGCGGCGGGAAAGGCTCGGGCGGCTGCCTCCCGGGGGAGGGCAGAGGCGGAGGGCGGGGATTGCCCTCGGCCGAGGGGCGGTCGGTCGGTCGGTCGGTCGGTCGCTGTTTGCTTCTGTCCCCGCAGGGGGAGAAGGAGGGAGGCAGGGAGGGAAGGCAGGAAGGAGCGGTGTTCTTGCCGCCGCCTCTGCCATACTGGGAAGAGACTCGGGGATCCTGGAAACTGGCGGGGTGATGTGTTTGGGGCGGGGGGCGGCGGCGGCGCTCTTGCTGCTGCCGCCGCCTCTGCTACCGCTGGAGAAAGAAGACGAGGACAAGGAGGGCGAGGAGGCGCCGGCGGAGGAGGCTGAAGCCGGGGGTGGCTGCTGCCCGGCGGGCCCGGGCTTGCGGGGACGGATGCTGCGGAAGAGTGCGCGGCTGGGTGGTGTAGCTGCTGCCGCTTGCAAGCAGACGGCGACGGGAGCTGCCGATCGGAAGGGCCGGGCCGAAGCAGCGGACAAGGAGGCGAAGATCCCGCGGAGCCGCGGCAGTCTTAAAATGTATTCATCTCGCCCTGCTCTCCAGCGGCCATGTTAACCACCAGGAAAGCTTCAGCTGCTGGCGCTGGAGGGGCTGCTGCCGCTTGCCCAGCTGGTAAGGAGGGCCAGGGCCGCCGGCGGCGCCGAACGGGTTTCACGCCCCTTCCCCCCTATCTCCCACGCCCCAAGCCTCCCCTCCCGCCCCAAGGCCAAGCACTGTCGACGGAGCCCTTCCCTGGATGTGGAACCCAGCCTCTCCCTCGGCTCCAGAAGCAGCCCGCGTTTGAATCCCCGTCTGCACGCTGCTCGTTTCTTGCGAGGTCTTGCTGGGTTTGGCCAGAGAGCCGCCTGCGCTTTCCGCGGTTGTCATGTTTCTCGAGCCGACAAGTTTGGGGCGAATGTGCAAGAGAAGCGCTTGTTGCAACTGCTCGGTTGCAGCGGGGCCGGCTTGGAACCGACGCGGCGAGGAGCCGAGCGGAGTTCCTGCGCTGTTCCTCCCTATACTGGGTTGATCAGAGGGGGGCGAGGGAGCGGGCTGATCCGCTTCCCTTGAGGCAGAGGCGAGATGTTGAGAACTGGATTGGATGAGTGAGCCTTCCCCCCTCTCCCTTTACGACGAGACAGACGGTACCGCGGGGGGGGGTGGCGGGGGGGAGGGATGTGTGCCATGCAAATCCAGTTTGGCTCCCCATTTAGGCTTCTAATGATTGTGGGTTAATCGTGGCTGAAAGGTTTAAGTGGGTTAACCCGCGGCGGCCTGTGCTCTGATTAGCCTGGAGACGCCCGGAGGACTTTGATGTGCGCTCGGTGCCACGTTTGAGATCGGCTTGCTTATGCTCGCTCCGACGCTATTGCGATGGCAGCCGGCGGAGGACGAGGAGGGGCGCTGGGGAGGGGGCTCCCGGGGCTCCCTCTTCCACTTCCTCAGCCACTTCCCCCTGCCTTTGAGCCGGAGCCTGCTGGACCCCGCACGCACGCCCGCCGGTCTCAGCCGGTCTCTTCTCCCTTCCTCCGCAGGCAGCAGGAGCGGAGGGGAGAGCGCTCGCCCGTTCCAGGCTTCCCCGGGGATTGGAGCCGGAGGGGCCTCTCGCACGGGCGCTGGGACCGGACCGCCTTCCCCCATCGCTCTGCCGCCGCTGAAGCCCAGCAGCGCCGCCCACTCGGTGAGAAGGAGTCGCGATTGCGGGCGGGCGGGGGGCGCTGTGTGCATTCAAGGCTCAGGTGAATCTGCCCCGGGAGGTCGCGGAGCCAGCCGGGCCACAACCCCTCCAGACAGCCCCGCTCCCCTGGGCCTAATCCTCTCCATTCTCAAAATAAGGTGCCAGCCTCTCATAAGCGCCCCCTCGCCCCTCCTCCCTTTGGTATTAATAGCAGTCAATGTGCGAGGTACAGTCAGGCTGCCAGCCAGCCTGTCTGAGAGGGACCTGTGAATGAGCCAGCACGGACCACCAACGGACTATGGAGGAGTCCTAATTATCCTCTCTAGCATGTCGCAACACGTCCTGGTCCTGTTACCTGTCTGGTTTCAACAGGTATTCCGGGGGACGGAGAAGAATGGGAGAGCCACCGTTTAGAGCCACTTGGGAACGAGGCTCCGGTTGGATCTTCTGTGCAGAGCCGGGGAGAGGTTAGGGGCAGAGGGTGAAGTCAACTTACTTGTGCCACCACTGAGTGATGCTGTGGCAGTTTTCTCCACTCCCTCCATTGCCGGAGAAAGATGGGGAGGGTTGCTGGGGAGATGGCTTTTGGGGCTCCCTTCCACTAAAGCCTCTGGTTGGGGGGGGGGGATTTGGCAGAACTGCAGCTCACATGGACCACTGTGAGACACAGGTCTGTAGGCAAGGAGTTTCTGTGCACTTCTCTGGAAGGCAATCTTAAAATTCCCTGCACTCAGTATAGATTTGGAACAAAAATAAGATGGGGAAAACCACTCTGTAAGTCCCCAGGGAAGGTTATGTGGTTATGCTGAGATGCTTCAATGGATTTTGATCATGCCATTATTTTTATTATCTCTTTCTCTTAATAAAGTATTATTATTTATTATTATTAATTATTATTATTAGGCATTTTACATTTCAGTGTAGTGCATGGGGTTAGGTAGGTATTTCTGAGATAGGAACAGCTTTGAAAAGGGAGTTAGTCACTTTAGTTCAAGGTTAGTCTACTTTTCCCAATTCTTTTTTTCCTCCAACTGAAAAATCAAGTTTGCTCTCCTGATGGTGAGACTTGCTCAGACCAATATCCCATTCCCGGGGAAGATGGGGTTGAGTTGGGCAAGAGAGTGACATTGAAAATGTAAACAGTTCTAACAACAGAAACAAGTGTTGCCTGATAGTAGTGCTTATGATTTCTCAAAGAATTTCCTGGTTGTAGATAACCTGTTGCAAAGGTTGGATCTAAGTGAGATGAGCTATTTGATGAGGCAGGCAGACAGGTGGTTTGCCTTCTTCTGCTACTGCATTTGACCTGGCTTTCAACCTGAAGAATATTGAATATGTGCTGATATGAAAGCCCTGATCCCTTATATTTATTTGGTAGAGCTGCTTTTTCAGAATGCTTATGCAATTAACTTGATGGAAGGTGGCTGTGGGTAGGGCGTGCATTTGCCTTTAATGTCTGTAACAAAAGAGGCTCTGTGGCTTAGAATTTCCTCAAAGTAACACCTCTTTGAGCTGGAAGCCTCTTCTGCCCATTATGGATTGGGTGTGCTAGTTGCAGGTGGGGAGAGGAGGAAGAGAATGCATGTTGTGTATGTTCAAGGACACTCTTACTAGGTAACATGTTTGGGGGCTGATTCCCGATGCTGAAAATCAATTCCAGAACTAAGCCTGTGGAGCTGCAGCTCAAATTAAGAAGTTGCATAGTTCAAAGTAGAACTGTTGGCATGGACGAATGTGTATCTTGGCATCTCTGTGTTCTGTGCTGTACACTGGGTATGTTCAAACCTGGTGCAAGTGCAACATTGAATTTAGAACGGGCTGTCGACCAAGATATTCCAGGTCCAGTTAGCTGTTTTGGAGGTTAAAAGAGGGGTAGCACTGCTGGCTACAACCTCCAGGGATCAGGTTGGGGAGAAGTATGTGGAAAATTGCATTTCCCTTTGATTTTCCCCTCTGGTTGGTATCTGCCCCCAGTGTCCTCCCACCATAAGTGGTTCATTCTCCAAACTATTCCCACCTCAAATACCTAAGTGATCTCATGTGGGAAAGAGCTATGCACTATAAAAGAAGCTTTGGCTTGTGCTCTGTATTTATGGTAACTTCTGTTGCTAAGCAGATGGACGGCTGAGTGTCAGGAGTGGCACTTTCTTAGACTATATGGCCTCATTGCATCCCCACCACTAAGGTTACTCTGAGGTGCTCCGATCACTGAGTGCCACATCAAGTCGGAGGTTCCTTTGCCCATTTTCATTTACATTCTAGGTCCTTTGGCTTTTTGATACTCTCTTGCAGCCCAGCCCTTTCATTCCTAATTGAAGTGAGCCAGTGGGTAGAATCCCATGTTTAGCCTTTGGCACCTGTAGTTCAGAACCCTGTTCAACCATGAAACTTGATAGGAACTTCTTGGCAAACTTTCTTTGGCCTCAGTCCCATCTGTAAATGGAAATTAAATACCATTGGGATGTTGTGACTAAAACAATTAATGGATTCCAAAATAACTTCATAAGTGAGTCATCATCTACTACTGTTACAATTCCCAAATGTCCACATCCTTGTCTCTTGACTTTGTGCACAGGTCAGATGTCTTAACATTGCCACGTTTCCTTTACACTGTTGCATAGCTCTTCCTGGGGAAATTGCCACCACAGAGAAATCATAAACAATTCATCCCTAAAGTCCAAATCTGTGTTTTTAAATTACGCCTTCTTACCTTGTCTTCATCTTCCCAGTCATTTATGGTATCCAAAGCGTCTGCAGCAGGAAGCAGAGATAATTTTGCTTCTGACATCTCTGTCCATTTTTATAACTTTTTCCTTTTGTGTTGCTAGTGAAAATTACCTATTTCAATTTTGATAGTAGAGGTGTCCCTTTCTCTGTTCCTTGATGTTGGTCCTGTTTACAGTAAGTCTTGTAATGCAGCTCATTCTTCCTTAATGGCTTTTCCCTAATCCTTAGCCGAGTTTGTGCCACTTTCAGATTCCTCCTTGGGCTGGTTGACACATTACTGTATGGAGTTGCTGGGTGTACCTCTTGTGTTAAAAAAAACACCTGAGCTGTATGGTGAAATACTGCAATCATGAACAGCAACCCATAAGAGCACCACTATTCCATGCAGAGATATTTAAAGTCCTAATGTTTAAAACAGGAATGGAAAATGTGTTGCCCTTCACCTGTTGCTGGAATACAACTCCCATTATTCCTAACCACAGGCTGTGTTGGCTAGGGATGATTGGAGTTGTTGTCTTTCACTACTGTAGGACCATCTGCATTCTGATTTTGTCAACAGAGAAGTAAGATATCTAAGCTGAAGTGGAGGATGTCAAGCTGTCAAAATTGTACCCTGTTATTTCAACAAATTCTGTCCAAACTTCAGAAAAAACTCTGCATCAGATCCAGATTTTTTTAAAAAAGAAAAGCATAAGGCTGTTTTTCCCAGTCCTGAATTCCCAGACTGTTGTTAAACTACAATTCCCATCACCTTTGACCATTGGCCATGCTGCTGGAAGCTGAAGTCCTACGATGTCTGAGCACCCGAGGCTGGGAACAGCTTTGCTTCTTTTCTCCTCAGCCCACATCCATTTACCTTTCATCAAACCAGGCTGTGCTTATTGTCTGAATGAGTTCTTCTCCTTGTCAGATGCTCCTTGCATACAGGACCAAATTACATTAAGCCATGAATTATTTTTTTTTCCCAAGGCAAAAAAATAAAATTAGATCATTAAATGTATGCAAGCAGCAGCATTGATTTAAAGCAAATTTCCTATCTTGAAATGCATACATTCCTTAGCAAGCATGCGTACCAGTTGGCTCCAGCAACTAAAATGTAACCAAATTGCAGACGGAACCTTTATGCAACCTAGGAGCATAATCCAGAACTTTGGATCACCTGTACAAATCTAAAATGGACAAAATCTAGATGACATCCCTTGTATCTATTAGAGTCATGCACCAACTCCCAGATTTGATTCCAGCCCTGATTCAGCAGTTTGGAAAATGGCCCAGTTCTGTTTGGACTAGTTCAAAGCTGTTTGACATGTCTTTTGCACTGCAGAATTGTATTTTCTCAGAGGCAGGAGGCAGAATGTTGCTTGACTCTCTCTATGCATATAAGCTTGGTATGCCATTTCAAGGCTGCAGTCCTGTACACATTTATTGCGAGATGCCATTGATCAAGTGAGCCTTCTTTCCAAGTAAACGGCCACATGATTAAGCTCTAATAATTCCCCAGAACTTTTCAGAAGTAAGACATAATCACTATGTGAAATGGTGTATTTCCCTGCAATACAGAACAATAATGATCCATTTGGTTTCCTGGTAGAACCTTAAATGTTATTTATTTTATTAGATTTCTATCCTGTTCCTTTATCCAAAATGGTTCACGATCTGAAAAGTGAAAATGTTGCTGGGGAGCATAAAATAGGAGTGTACAGTCTTCACACGGACTCAGTAAGCAGTTTGTGTAATGGTTTTCTAGTCACAAGACCCAAAGGGAAGTCCACAGTGTGACTTTTTGCACACCGTGACTTTGTGTTTAATGCAAGTTATGGCTGCAGCACATACACCCACCATGTTGCAACTGTAACCTCCACCTGGGGGTTCTTGTATCATGTCAACACAACCCCCAAATGGGGAATGCATGTGTAGTTTTGTCACCCATTGATAATGCAGCCTGTCTAACCCCGGTCAATAGTATGTGTAGCAAGTGAGATCTTCAACAGAACTTTGCAGTGTGGAATGTTCTCGCTCAGTGTTTATTTATTCAGTTTTAATTTATTACATTTCTTTGGTTACAATAACCAAAGCTTTCCAGATGGTTCATTCGCAATTTCAGCCGTGTCCTTTTGCAGAATATTTCCGTTTCATTTCCCTTTCCGCTTGCGTTTCTGACCCTCCTGCCGGCAGCATTCTGGGACCACTGAGCCGTATACTGGATTCTCACTGGGCCAGTTTTAGAGTCCTCCCATTATGTTGTTTTTCCACTTAAGGGGTTCTTTTTTGTACTT